AAAAAAAAGAGAGAAGGGCTAGAGAGTTGGCTCTAAGGTCAAGAAGATTGGCTGATCTTCCAGAGGACCTGGATTCAGTTCCCAGCACTCATAACAGCTCACAGCCATCTGTAATTACAGTTCCAGGGGATCCGACACCCTCTTCGGCCTCTGAAGGTACCAGGCATGCATGTGGTACACGGACATATACATGTGTAAACAAAGATTGCTCGTTAGTTTCCCGGCTGCCCTGACCAGAATAATCACACAGAAATTATACTAATTACAACACTGTTTGGTCAATAGCTTAGGCATATTTTTGGCTAACTCTTATATCCTAAATTAATCCATTTTTATTAATCTGTATTGTCACGAGGCTGTAAATTACTGGTAAAGGTTTGGGCGTCTTTCTCCTTCAGCAGCTACATGGTGTCTCTCTGACTCTGCCTACTCTCTCTGTGAATCTCTGCTAGCAATTCCCACCTTGCTTTGCTCTGCTGAGCCATTGGCCAAAACAGCTTTATTCATCAACCAATAAAAGCAACACATATACAGAAGGACATCCCACATCATACATGCAGGCAAACACCCATACACCCAAAATAAAAATTAAATCAAAAAACAAATAAATAAGAGACAAAAAACTTTGTGGTCATAGAAAACATTTTCCTCACATCATGAAAAACACAAAACTCCCCCCCCCATCCAAAAGAAAGCCGTTTCACTTACTAGCATGCTTATCGGCAAGCATTATTAGCGTGTTGGAGATATCACGTCGTCTATAGAAGCATACAACTTTTGCTTCCACGTTGCCACTCGCAGTCTAAGAAATGAGAAAAAGAAAAGTCATATGGGACCTGAAGTCTCAATGATAAAATGCGCTTAAAGCTGAATGTGGCAGCACGTGCCTATAACCTCAGCCCTCGCAAAGCTAACTCGGAAGGACTGTACAAAGTTTGCAGCCAGTCTGATCTACATAGAGAATTCCACACCAGCCAGGGCTACGTAGCAAGTCACTGTCTCAAAAAGCAAACAACAGCAGCGAAACCTGGAGAGAAGGAAAGGGAGACGAACTCCACTAACTTTGTGCGCATGTGTGTTGTGAGACAGGGCTTCACGTAACCCCGGCTGGCCTTGCCTCCACCTCCCCCAGGACCAGCCAGACTGATACTTCCAATTTTAAAAGCCACAAATAATTTGTTCATGGTACTGATTTTAATCATCTTCGTAAAGCGTTGCTGTGCATTGCTCAAACCCATCCCCAGATGACACAAATTAGTGGAATATCACCCAGCCCCAGTCCTAGGACGACTCCGCAGGGGGCAGTAGCCAGCATGCAGAACGGAACTACAGAAACACCCTCCTCCACAGGGTCAATAGTCTCAGTTTACCTTCAAGTAGGAAGCTATGCAAAACTGTAAGCTCCCAGCACAGAAGTCTCTCTGACTAGTCTAGAATACAATCTGCATTCGGCTCGGCTGTAATTTACTGCAGCTGAGGCCCGGGCTCCTATTCTAATATCCATAAATTCTGCAGGCTTTCGAGCTGGCTAATCACTCACTGGCAACCTCTTCCTAAAAGCACATAGATTACAATAGAAATGCTACTGTGATGTCCAATTTCTAACACACGTGGCACATGCGTGCAGAATGTATTTGGACTTAAAGATGTATTCAAATAGAAAGATTGTAAACCATAATAAATTTGTCAGTTTTACCAAGTTCAGCAGCAACATTTTAGCTCGGCAGCAAATATTTTAGTGAGAAATGGTTCTGTGGAAATATTGCCCCTTCAAATTGAAATCATATTAAATTCCTACCCAAATGCCAATACATTTTGTAATGTTGTGATCAAACTCATCCCCCAGAAGCAATGATCCAGCAATCTGCTAAATGAACAGGCCGATATTTCCATGTAAATAAAATCCAGGGCTCCAGTCTATGTGCTTTCTCATCTCCGTATCATTAGTGAGCTCGCCTAAGAGCAACGCTCTACAAAGATGATCAAATTCTCGGTTAAGCCTGCTTGAGGGACAAAGCCGTAGTTCAGAATATTTCTTTTTTTCCTTTCCTCACTCTGTAAACCAGGTTCAAACTCTGTGATCGCCTGCTTCTCCCTCCCAAGTGCTGGGATTAAAGGAATGTGCCACCCACCCACTCTCCTTTTTTAAAGACAAGATCTTACTACATAACACAAGCTGTCTTAGAACTGGTAATCCTCCTGCCTCAGTCTACCTAGTGCTGAAATTAATAGGTGTACAGCACATACGTGGACATAAAAATTGCTGGGTGAAATTGGGTGTGGTTACGAACACCTTTAGTCCCAGCACTCAGGAGGCAGAGGCAGGAGAATCTCTGTGAGTTCAAGGCCAGCCTGCTGTACAAAGTGAGTTCCAGGACAGCCAGGAAGGGCTACACAGAGAAACCCTCTATCAAAAAAACAAAAAACAACAACAACGTAAGAACTCTTTGGGTCTGCAGGTGGCTCAGTGGTTAAGAGCAGTGGCTGCTCTTCCAGAGGACCCGTGCTCAATTACTAGTACCCAATTACCAGTACCCACAAGGGAGCTCACAACTGTCTATAACTCCAGTTCCAGGGGATCCGATACCTTCACACAGACATACATGCAGGCAAAATACCAATGCATATAAAATAAAAATAAATAAATAAATATAAGTAAATTATAAATAACAATATCCTCAGGACTAAGGGATGTAGCCCAGTTCAGGGTGCATTCTTATAATGCGCACAGCCTGGGGCTCAATGCCCAGCAACACAAATCTCCTCCTGGGCCACACACTCTCTTCACTATTGGGTAACTCACAATAGTGCAGTATTGTTCTTGCCTCACGACTACAGGACTATTGTCCTTCCCCCAGGACTTAGTACAGCATGGTCCCTCCCTTCCACAGAACACACAGAAACCATTTCTCTGCAGCTCTGCTGCTCTAAACAATGATGCACTGAGCTAGTCTGCTGTGCTTCTCGTGTGCAAAGAAGAGAGTGCAGGGACTGAGGGTGTATGTGCTACAAATGTTAAGCATTAAAGTTGAGCCTGGTGGACTTCTACTTCTAGAATCAGAGAAACGGAACACCAAGAATTGAAGACAAGCCTGGGCTCTGTCCTTTTTTTTTTAGACTTTGTCTCGAAACAAAAAACGAGGGCTATGAATATAAACACAGCTCAATGATATAGCACTGGCCCCGCATGTTCAAGGCCTTGGGTTCAATTCCCAGTACTCCACATGTACAGTCGGCAACCAATGGGAAAATTCCCTAAAATCCATGCCTATTGCCAATAGTTCCCAAATGGCAGGAGGGATCTGACTAAGGCTCCATGAAAGGCTTTAGGGGATCTTTGCAAATTATTTGAAACAACTTGTATATGCAGGTGTGGTAACTCAGTATATCACCAATGCCATAAGCTCAGCATTCAGCAGGCAGAGGCAGGAGGTTTGGCCCAGGTTTGAGTCCAGTTCTGTCTACATTACAAGTTCTAGACCAACAGCCCTAAACTGTAAGAATCTGTCTCAAAAACAATACAGCTCAGTGGTAGGGCATTTGTCTAGCTACACAAGGGCCTGGGCTCAGAGTTTAGTGTGAGTAGTGTGGAGGTGGCTAGGGAAAACTACAGATAAAATTCAACATCCCCAGCCAGTCAGGCCTGTCGGAGCCTGTCTGTGATTCTAGCATTCAGGAGGCAGGGCAGAAGATCAGTTCAAGGCCCACCTCTTCCTCACAGTGAGTTCAAGGCCAGCCTAAGCTCTGTGACACTGCTTCAAAAATGGAAACTCTAAGGTCAGCAGAACCACCAAGAAAGTTCAAGACTAACTTGGGGAACATAGCAAGACTTGTCTCAAAGCTGGGTATGATGGCATACATCTTTAATACTAGCACCTGAGGCAGGCAGATTTGTGTTTCTGAGGCCAGCCTGGTCTCCACAGGAAGTTTCAAGCTAGCCAGGACTACATAGCAAATCCAGGTCTCAAGAAACAAAATAAAGTCGGCAGTGGTGGCGCGAGCCTTTAATCCTAGCACTAGGGAGGCAGAGACAGGCGGATTGCTGTGAGTTTGAGGCCAGCCTGGTCTACAAGAGCTAGTTCCAGGACAGGCTCCAAAACCACAGAGAAATCCTGTCTCGAAAAACCGAAAAAAAAAAAAAAAAAAAAAAGAAAATCTGCAGTCTCAATCTCTGTTTTTACTGGGGTGTGTGTGTGTGTGTGTGTGTGTGTGTGTGTGTCTGTATGTACATGGGGGGGGGAGTTCTTCTATATATATGCTGCTTTTATTGATTAATGAATAAAGAAGCTGCTTTTGGCCAATGGCTTAACAGGATATAGCCAGGCTGGAAAAAAAAGAGTAGGCGGAGTCATGGAGCCCTCAGCTGAGTAAACCATTACCACGTGGTGATACACAGATTAATAGAAATGGGTTAATTTAAGATGTAAGAGCTTGCTAGGAATACACTAGCGTCATTGGATTGGCCAAGCAGTGTTGTGATTAACACAGTTTCTGTGTGAATATTTCAGGTCAGGGCAGCCAGGAACAAACAAACAGCCTCCAACAATGGGGTAGAAGAATTTTTCTCCTGTTTTACAGTGAGCTCAGAAAGGGAAAGGTAAGGGCTGTACCACTGAGCCACACAGCCTTGAACTAAGTATCTGAAGGTGATAAACAACGTGGAAAAAAGCAAGCAGGAGGCATTTTTATTTGTTTTTTGGGGCGAAGCCTCCAGTTGCTGGAGCTGGCCTTGAGCTCTCCGCTGGTTGCTGGTTGACAAGGACTTCCCATCCCCCAGCCTCTATCTCGTTCTGGACTGTCAGCACGGGCTGCCACACCCAGTTTTTTCTATGCACTGAACCCAGGAGCTCTGAGTTACCACCTGAGCTGGACTTGGCACTTTCTGACCTGAAAAAGCATAGGTGAGGTGACGGAAAATATGTATTTAAGAGATGAACAAGCCAGCCACAGTCTCACAAATAAAACTACAGAAGTGTTAACCGTCAAAGGTCACACACAGGATAGCCCTCTGTAAATACGTAATCTGGAGTTCAATTAGCAGCCTCTTTTGAGTTGGGGGGGAGGGAATAGAACCCAGGACCTTGCACAGCCTCTTTAAAATTCTATAACTTTTCAAATTGGAAACCAAAACCTCCTGACAAGCATAATTCAATACTGTTAAAATTTTGTGCCCTTTTGCTGTGTGTGGTGCACGACGCCAATCCCAGACCTCAGAACCGAGCACCAGGAGTTCACAGCCAGCCTGGACTTCATGCAACCCTGTCTCAAAACCACTTCTCTTTTTTACTTTCCCCTAGTCTATACTCAGATGAATAGAGGAAGGGTACATATGAATTTATACATACTACACTGTGTTTGCTTTCAATACCTGTTTTCCCAAACTAGTGTGAATCATAGTCTTTTGCTTCAGTCAGTAACACATTGTAAGTATCTTAGCATAAACAGTTGGCACATAATTAAAGGCATTAAATAAACAATTGTTGAACTAATGACTCTGAATTTCTCATGTTTATGCTCATATGTAGCATTACTATTTACCAAGTACTTTGAGTCAACTTGTTTTTCTTTCTTTCTTTTTTTTTTTTTTTTTTTAGTTTTTAGAGACAGGGTTTCTCTGTGGCTTTGGAGCCTGTCCTGGAACTAGCTCTGTAGACCAGGCTGGTCTCGAACTCAGAGATCCGCCTGCCTCTGCCTCCAGAGTGCTGGGATTAAAGGCGTGTGCCACCATCGCCCGGCTTGTTTTTGTTTTTCTAAGACACGGTTTCTCTGTGTAGCACTGGCTGTCCTAGAACTCACGCTACAGACCGCTCACAGATCTGCCTGCCTTTTCTTCTCCCCTCTAACTCGCAAACCATCTGATTTTCCTAACCATTGTGTTTTTACACTGGCCTGGAACTCCCCAGGTAGGTTCACCTGGTTGGCTGTGAGCCCCAGGGCAAGGACTGTAGGCAGGAGCCACTAAACCGGTTTCTCTTTCTAGTTTTGAATATGGGTTCTGGGGATTGAACTCAGGCGCTAAAGCTTTACCTACTGAGCCATCTACCCTGCCTCTCATTTTGTTTTTCTAGACAGTCTCAGTAATAAAACCCAGGCCAGACTTGAACTACATATAATATTCCTGTGTCAGTCTCCCAAGTGCTAGGATCACGTTGACTCATTTTACAATTTTAGGGTTGCTGGTGGTGGAGAGACAAGGCCTCACTCTGTAGCCCAGGCTAACCCTGAGCTCCCATGTGCCTGACTATAAGCATAAACTACCATGCCTAGTTTAGAAGGATTCTTCCTTCTAAAGCTAGGAGAAGAAACTATTAATTCACTAAAAATTGCAAAACACAGCACTTAGGAAGCTGAGGCAGGAGAATTGTGATTTTTAAGTCAGTGAAAGCCTGTCTCAAACAAACAGGCAAAATACATACTACAGTTCTAAATAGGTAAAGGAACGGAGTTCTTCAACGGCCCTGATCTTTTAGTGCTCAAATCAATTGAAGAGATCTGTAATCTTTTACTCAATATCATCAGACCAAAAAAAAAAAATCTCTATAAAAAGTAAATACTCAGAAGCATGCAGAACACTGAACTATGTGAACTGAACAACAGGCGTGACAGCACACGCCTTTAATTCCTGCACTCCGGGAGGCAGAGGCAAGCAGGTCGCTGTGAATTCAAGGCCAGCCTGGTCTACAAAGTGACTGCCAGGGCTGTCACACAGAGAAACCCAATCTCAAGGGTTAAATAAAATAAATAATTCTTAGTCTGGAACTGAAAGGAAAAATCACCCCTAGGGTTTACCCCTAACGGAAAGCACCTTGCTGCGCACTCCTCACCTTGCTGAGTTCTTCTATTCTTCTGATTAGGTACGGGTTGCTGGAGGAATTCTCAAAGTAAACATAATCTGCAATCAAAAAGTTACAGGACTTTTCAGGAAATCGTTCACAGTAGTCAGCTTCCCTCCTATTTTTCAGACAGGGTCACATGGTGTAGCCCTGGACGTCTTAGAGCTTGCCATGTTAACCAGGCTGGCCTCAAGCTCACAGAGCCCTGCTTGCCTCTGCTGGGATTAGAAGCCTGCGACAGTTTATTGGGCTACAACTTTCTGCAGCAGGTAACTCACCTCAGTAAGTAGGCAGGTTACACCCACCTTACCGCAACCTCAGTAAACTGTACCATGTCTGTTACTTTCCTAGAGTCCCCACTTCTGAGTAGCTCAAACTGATTTACAACTCAGTATCCCCCTGCTTCAGACTCCCAAGTGCTGGGACTGGCAGCTCGCACCACACCCTGCTTAGGTTTCTCTCACTTTTGCTTTTAGAAATAGCTTTCCATCAGTCCAAGATGGCAAGAACTAGCTATGTAGCTGAGACTGGCCCTCAGCTCTGAAGCTTCCTGCCCCCACCTCTTACAGGCTGAATTTACTGGCACGTGCCACAATGCCCAACCTTAAATTAGTTCTTTAATGTCAAAAAGAAGAAGAAGCCTGACTTGGTGTAGTGGGGTGGGGTGGGGTGGCAAAGACAGGATTACAAAGCAGGGGCCAGGCACAGTTACACAGCAAGACCTTGTTTCAAAAAAAAGAAAAGAAGCCGGGCGGTGGTGGCCCACGCCTTTAATCCCAGTGGGGGAGGCAAAGGCAGGCGGATCTCTGTGAGTTCGAGATCAGCCTGGTCTACAAGAGCTAGTTCCAGGACAGGCTCCAAAACCACAAAGAAACCCTGTCTCGAAAAACAAAACAAAACAAAACAAAAAAAAGAAAGAAGGGGGTTGGAGAGAGAGAAAGAGAAAAATGCCTTAAGTCCCAGCACTTGGGAAGCAGAGGCAGACAGATCTCTGTGAGACCAGCCTGGTCTGTAGAGTGAGTTCCAGAGCAGCTAGGGCTATGTAAACACCATGTCTCAAACAAAACAAAACAAAAACCACCACAACAATGTTACATCTTGGTCAGTTATTTATCAGGGCTCACTGAGGCATGCTCCCAGCTCAGCATCTGCATCCTCTCCCTCCAATCCAGTCAGCCCTGGAGAACGGTTCTTACATAAAACTGTTGACCTAAGACAAATTCAGAGCAAAGAGGAGGGCTTACCAGCCCAACTTCAATTCAAGCATCAACTTAAAAAAAAAAAAAAAAAAGGAAAGAAAGCCAGGGTAAGAGAAAGCTTGGTAACAAACTTTTCCATGCTCAACCTGGGAAGGTGAGGAGTAGGGCAGGGCTACTTGCTTGAGAGGCAGGGCTGTCTAGGGAGGGTGTTGAGATCTTTTTACCCTTTTATCATATTTGATCCAACTCCATTTAGGTCTTTTTTTTTTTTTAAATAAAGAAATCATGGCAAGTTTTCAACTAAACCTGCAGGATTTTTCCAAGCGTGGCTTTTCCTCCAGAGTCGCTGGAAACTTCCCACTGTGTTTACCTGAGCGACTAGACTGCACAGTCACTGTCTACCTTCCCGGCTCTCTCCTGGCACTCTACTGCTAAGTGGCCTCATTTAGCCAGGCCATTCCCCACCATCAGGAGCTCAGCTAATGAGCAAAGAAGGAAGAGCAAGTCTCACTCACAAACATGCCACTTATCTGAATTATTATTTTACCAGGAAGGAGGGAGGGAGGGCGTCGTGAGCAGGGAAAGTTTGTTTGACCTTATTTCTCTCTTCTGCAGAAGGCTGGGAAGACAGACAGCAGAGCCAACGTCTAGGCTGGGCTCAACTCCCCACCTGGGGCTGCGGTTCCCTGCCCCCCCACACACACACAGCCTCCACTCCTAGGGGGGGGCTGAACGAAAAACCGAAGAGAATGGGGGTGAAGCAGCGAAGGTGCAGAGCCCTGGCTCGGCAAACAGGCCTGTCCAGCTGTGCCCCCTATCTGGGCCACCATCGCCCCCAGCCCACACTAACACCGAAGCAGAAGCAGGGTCGAGGAGGGGGAGGTTGTCCCCAGCACCCCCCCACACACCCCCAGTGCCCAAAAGCCACGCGAGGAAAAAAGCCACTCGGCTAGGGGGCTTGCAGGGGCCCTGTCCCTTTGGGGCGTTCGTAAAGAGGGTGTCCGATGCGTGTCCCCAGAAGAGGCCTGGCCCTGAGACGCCGGGCAGCGGCGGTGGGGGAGGGGAGTGGGGGTGGGGAGCCCCCTGCGCCCCGCCCGCGGCGCCCTCGGCCCGGGCTCCCGGGCTGCGGGCGGTAAGCGTGCGCTGCCCGGACCCCCGTTCCCGCCGCCCGCGCCCCGACGGGCCGGGAAGGGCCGAGCCTTCCTACCTCCGACCCGGTACATGTTGGCCGCCATGTCCGCCCGCCCGCCCGCGGAGCCCGAGCCGAGCCCCGCCCGCCGCCGCCGCCTCAGCCTCGACCGCCGCCGCCGCCGCCTCGCCACGGGGGAGGGGGAGGGACGGGGAGGGGACACCGAGGGAGGGGGCTGTGCCCGCCCCCAGCGCCGGCCGAGCGTCGCCGAGCGGGCCCGGGAGGCCGGAGCGCGGCAGGGACGGGGCTTTGGGCTGCGGGGACCCTGGACCTCGGGGCCACCCGCATTAGCGTCGGAGCACACCAGGGCCGGGGGCTGTGCAAGAACCTGGGTGGGGACAGAGGCTCAGCCACTCCGAGCGTCTCCCCTGCCCTCGTCACCTGTCCGCCTTGGGACAGGTTCTCCTTTCCTGCTTCTGTCCCCGGGGACAACCCTCTATGTGTGACCTCAAGCACATGAACGCCCTTCTGGGTACAACTCTCCGATTTAGTCAAGGCAAGCGACTGATGCTTGGCGTCCCTCCCTCGTGGTGAGAGGGTGTTTAGTGGCTTTAGAGCCTGCAGGTCCTGGGGCCGAGAAAGACCCTACCTACTTGCAGCTTGTCCAGTCTGAAAAGAGCTAAAAGAAGCTGACTATCCATCCCAACCACATTGGCAGGTCTGTCATGGTTGTGCAAAAACTGAACTGAACAGAACCGACTCCCCCACATCCTCAGGCCTCTAAACAGGCTCTGTTTAAGGCGCGTGCTTTAACCAGGAAAGACCTTTGGCACGGGCAGGCTCCCTTTGCCATTAGAGGAACAGGGGCTCCACAAGCTGCCATTGCCCCAGCGAAAGGAGGAAGTCCTGTCAAACAGTTTGGTGTAGCTGGTCACCTAACTGGTTTTAAGTCAAAAAGACACACCCCCGCCTTTTTTTTATTTTTTTCAGTATTGGGGAGCCAGGGCTTTATGCATCATAATCACTGAACTGTACAGTCCCAGTTCTTCCGTGTTTATTGGTTGGCTTTTAAATTTTTAGTACATTTATTTATTTATTTATTTATTTATTTATTTATTATATGTGAAGTCACAAATGCCATGACACCTAGGTGTAGGTCTATCATATGGGTCCGGGGATTGAACTCGGGTAGTCATTTCAATGGCTGTAAGCACTTGGCACCTACTTGAGCTATCTCATCAGCCTTATGTATGTTAAGCAGAGTCTCAGCTCAGGCTGGCTCTCCTCACCTCCTGTCTCTCAAGTGCTGGGATTGTATGACAAGTGTGGGCTAACAGGCCCCACTGGAAAGTTTGTAAACGGTTAATTTTCCCACGCCGATTCCCCCTTTCTATCAGGTTTTTGGCCGTCTTGGGATACAAAGCAAGATCTTCTTGACTGCCTCGTCCCAAATGAACACACGACTTCCTTTCGGAAACCCGAGCCATTCCAAACTACACCCAGACCTTGTTGCATAATAAACACGACGCTGATCGTCCACTAGTGCGTGGTGATACTGACTGAGGTCTGTGTCTGGGTAGGAGGTGTCCCCAGAGAAGGAGACTGCATTTTGGTTGATGTTCCTTTATCACAAAATATTGAGAAAAAAAAATAATTTTTATGAATAGCTGAGGCAAATAAATAAATATCCTCTTGCCGTTGTTACACCGGTTATTCTGTGTCCTGTTTTCGCATCTGTAAAACAGAGAGGTGACTTCCACCGGTCAGGTGTGCTAAGGGTCCGCTGTGATGACATCTAAAGGGGCTTTGAAAGCACTGGGCAAACAGTGTCTGTTGCTTCCTTTTTGCCCCAGAAAGCCTAAGATTCCAGAGGAGTTGGTAGAATGCTCCAAACTGTTAGCCCTCCGCTCTTGGGGACCAGAGAAGACCAAAGGGCTCTGGTATCGTGACAGCAGAGCTGTTATTTATCTAACTCTTTCACTGGAGATCCCACCAAAAACAGTGGGACTTCTCTGCACCAGTCTCTAGTTCTGAGCTAACACACAAATAGGCTGAATAATCCACCTGGAATAGTCTCCTGGCATCAGTACTTCACTCTGGCCCACAACAGCATGAACCACGTCTGTCTCCTAGTAAGAATGCAGCCTGAAAACGTCAAGGAAATAGGTCACGAGTTTTAGAAGATTTGCTCATAATGTTTTAAGTAATAAATGAACAAGGGTTGGGGAGGTAGCGGGGGCAGGGAGGGGCTCAGCTGGTAAAGATGCTTGCTGACAAGCTTGGTGACTGAGTTTGATCCCTGCAACCCACATGGTAGAAAGAGAAAACTAATTCTTTTTATATTTTTGTTTTTTTTCAAGACAGAGTTTCTCTGTGTAGCAGCTCTGGCTGTTCTGGAACTCACTTTGTAGATCAGGCTGGTATCAAACTCATGAGATCTGCCTGCCTCTGCCTCTTGAGTGCCCGGAGAGAAAAACCAATCCCTAAAAGTTGCCCACATAGCCAGGCAGTGGTGATGCACGCCTTTAATCCCAGCACTCAGGAGGCAAAGACAGAAGGATTTCTGTGAGTTCGAGGCCAGCCTGGTCTACAAGAACTAGTTCGCACCAAAAGCTGCCTTGAAAAAAAAAAAAAAAAAAAAAACAAAACAAAAAATTGTACATCATGGCCTACATACATGCACAATTACATGCTAAGTTTTTCTTGAAGCTCAGTTGGGAGGTAGAGGCACGAACAGCAGGAGTTTAAGATTACCCTAAACTGCATAGCAAATCTGAAATCTGAGCTAGGCTGGGCTCCATGGCTGGGGTGCAGCGTAGTTGACAATATTTAACTACCATGCAGGAAACTCTGGGTTAGATTCCCAGTACTGAATAAACCCAACCTAATAGTTAATTAGCCCATGCTTCTAATTCCTGCACCCAGTCCTTGGAAGTGGAGATAGGATAGAGAGCTCAAGGTCCTCCTCAGCTACACAATTTGGAGCCAACCTGGACTACATGAGACCCCATCTCAAAAACAGTAAGAATCATCTTCCTCAAAATATTGCTATGTTCTTGTTACTTCCTTGTCTGCTTGTCTCATTTCCTTGGGTTTTTGAGGTCCCTAGTCTTACCACAGTAAGTGTGTGAAAAGCGCTAAGAACATTTCCCACGCCTGTCTACACTCAACTTTCCTTCTTAGGATCAGCCTTAGCCTGGAGACCCCATTAAAGGCTTAGAGACCTGGGGCAGAGCAGGAAGTAATGATGGTGGCCAGACCAGACTCCCTCGCCTCCCCTAGAATCTCTGTGTTAAGCCCCTCCTACCTCCAGCTCCAAGACAGGATCCTCTACATAGGAAATGCTCAATATCTTAAAGAATGGGGGAGGCGGGTGCCTCAGCAGTTAGAGCATATGTGCTCCTCCAGGGGACCCAAATTAAGATCTCAGAACCCATACCAGATGACTCACAATTGTCTGGAATTCCATCTCCAAAGTATTCAACATCTTCTGAGCTCTGCATGTTCCTATGCTCACATGCATATACCTACACACAAACACACATGCATGTAACTACACACAAACACACATGCATATACCTACACACACATGCATATACCTACACACCAACACACATGCATGTACCTACACACAAACACACATGCCTGTACCTACACACAAACACACATGCATATACCTACACACACATGCATATACCTACACACACACATGCATGTAACTACACACAAGCACACATGCCTGTACCTACACACAAACACACATGCATATACCTACACACAAACACACATGTATACATAAATAAAAATAATTTTTTTCTTGAGATAGGGTTTCTCTGTGTAGCCCTTGCTGTCCTGGAACTCCCTCTGTAGACCAGGCTGACCTCAAACACAAAGATCCATCTGCCTCTGCCTCCTGAGTGATGGGATTAAAGGCCTGTACAACCACTGCTTAGCTATAAAAATAAATTTTAAAATAAGAAAGAAGAAATGGCGGTTGAGGTTGTAGCTCGGTTGGTAGAATGCATACTTAACACGCATGAAGCCCTGGGTTCAACCCCCAGCATTGAATAAACCAGGTGGGATGCTGCGTGTTAAAGATTTCAAGTTTGCTTGTTCCCAGTGCTCTCCGGCCATTTTCAGGCATCCCTAAAGAACAGATGTCTGCTAAAGCATGCCAGAAGCACCAAAGCAAATCAAGTCTTCCCACGGGGCTGTCGAGATTAAAGAAGCACAGGGAAGGGATTGCCTGAGGCCACAGTGGAATCCTGTTGGAATCCAGGATCCCACCCCTTTAGCTGCCAAAAAAACTTCAAATGAGCCAGCATATCCCTATGATCCTAGCAGAGGCAGGAGGACCAGAAGTTCAAGCCCAGCCTAGACTACATGAGACCTTATCTGAAAGAAAGACAGAAGAAAGAGGCACTGTCATTGCCAAGGAGGCTCTTGCCACCAAGTCTGAAGACCTGAGTCCAGTCCCTGGGAGCAACATGATAGAAGGAGAAAAGCAACTTCTATAAAATTGTTCTTTGTTCTTCCACATACATCACACACACACACACACACACACACACACACAGGACACACACTCATGCACACTTAAATAAATATAAGGATTAAAAAAAGAGCCGGGCATGGTGGCACGTATCTTTAATCCCAACACTTGGTAGGCAGAGGCAGGTAGATCTCTGTGAGTTCGAGGCCATCCTGGTCTACAGAGTGAGTTCCAGGACAAACCAGGGCTATATAGTGAAACCCTGTCTCAAAGGGGAAAAAATGTAAAATAAATAAATAAAACTTAAAAAGAGACAAAGAGTAAAAGAGAAGAAGAAAAAGGAAAAAGAAATTTATGGGACAGAGAAGGGTTTTGATCAATTTAGAGATGGAGTTCTTTTTGTTTTGTTTTTTTCCTTCAGTTTTTCTCTTCAGGCACGGAATTTTCGTGAAAGGAAAAAAAAGTGTTCTGTGTTCTGGCCGCAGTCTGGGAGTCTTGTGATATTGAGCCTCAGAAAGGAGCCTGGGGGCCTCGGGAGTAATTAATCTGAAGCTGGAGCACAGCTTTGGAGAAGAAACTGTGCCTTGTTTGTCTTTTCTGTGATTTATCACCCCCTCCCTTTCATTAATTTATTTTGTTTTTTAGCAAAATCTTTGGAAAAATCTAGCCTGTTTCAGATATTTTAGGGAGGTCCTGAGCTGTAAAAATGGACAAATGAATCCTAGTAGAAAGGCATGTGACATCAACAAACAAAACAAGAATGTCCCTAAGGAGAAGGGAAGCGGCACAGGGACCTCAACAGCTTCTCCGGTCAGGGCTTGCCATGGCTAAAGCATGGAAGCCCAGAACAGTTCAGAAGGGCTTATTTTTCCTTTGCTCCTTTTCTTTGAGATGTAGTCACACTGTGCAGTCTGGCTGGCCAGGAACTGGCAATACAGACCAGTATGGTCT